ATATATATATATGTGTGTGTGTGTGTGTGTGTATAATATAAAAAAAGGAAAAAAATTTGTGTAGAATTAGTGAAATATTATACAAGTAAGAAAAATATCTATCGCTCACGTAAAACATAAATATTTATCAGAAAAATATCTACAAACCACATAAAAAATTTATAATATACTAACAATATCCCATTCTCAGATAGCACGAAAGAGAACCACAAAATCGTGGACGTAGCACGAAACAGAACCACAAAGTCGTAGACATTACCTACAGAATCGTAGACTTTTGGCTACATAGTTCAATATTCAAATTTTGTGGACATACGGAGGTGTTTCAAAATAAGATGAGAGAATCGATCATGGCAATTCCTATAATCTTATTTCCAAGCATTAGCAATTTGTAGAAATTCGATTTGGTGGTGTGAAAATAATTTTATGTGAGTGTATTTATTGCTGTAAATACATCAATCATAAGCAAAATGCCTACGCAAGAACTTGCAATACCGCAGCCGCCAGCCACTGAAAACGAGGAGAACAATGTTCCCTCGTCACAACCGATTGTGGGCATTATTTATCCACCACCTGAGGTTAGGAGTATCCTTTGCCAAGAATATTATCGAAATATGAAAATTATGATTTACTAATAATAATTACAGGGTTGGATAGAAAATAATGTGGAAAGTGTATTTTGTAAAAGAATATATAGAAAACGATAATAAAATTAGAAATAATACAAGATATATAGATAAGTGCATTTTGTACGACACCTGTAAAATACTGGCTAACTGCGATATTGTTTGATGTATTTTTTGTTTTTCCTTATATAGAAATTCAGATATTGTTGACAAAACCGCCAGCTTCGTGGCCAGGAATGGGCCGGAATTCGAATCCAGGATCAGACAGAATGAATTAGGCAATCCAAAATTCAATTTCTTAAACTTCGGTGATCCTTATCACGCTTACTATCAGCACAAAGTGAAAGAGTTTAAGGAAGGAAAAGGTCAGGAACCTACGATTGGTTCAGTTCCTGGAAAAACTATCAATCTCACTGCACATCAAAAGCAGCAGGAAATCTTAAAACAAGTCGAACAACCGTTTATACCTAAGGATCCACCAACTGAGTTTGAATTTATTGCAGATCCTCCTTCTATATCTGCTTTGGATCTGTATGTAATAATTTTTATATATAGATAATTGATATTTTACGTTTCATTAAAACTTTTATTTTTCAGAGACATTGTGAAGCTAACTGCTCAATTTGTTGCACGTAATGGAAGACAGTTTCTGACCAATTTAATGAATCGCGAGCAAAGAAATTTCCAGTTTGATTTCCTGCGGCCTCAACATTCCTTATTTCAGTACTTTACTAAACTTTTAGAGCAGTACACCAAGGTAAACGAATAGCAATAATCCTATTTTAAGATTAATGTGATTTTATTATATATAGAGAAATTAAAAAAAAAAATTTATGTGCAATTTTTAGAATCAGATATGTATATAAATTCACCTAGAAATATTTGAGTATTAAGAACTGCTTTGATTGAATATAGGAATTTCATTTATTTAATTACAACATTTCCAATTTAATACGTTTTTTATAGGTATTGATTCCACCGAAAGATTTGTTGCCACGTCTCAAGGATGAAGCACTCAATATGGATAAGATTTTGGAGCAGGTGAAATACCGTGCCGAATATTTAAAATATCAGGAGGCACAAAGACGTAAGGAGGAAGAGGAATTAGAAAGAGAAAGAGTGGCTTATGCGCAAATTGACTGGCATGATTTTGTTGTGGTTGAAACTGTAGACTATCAACAATTTGAAGTCGGTAATTTCCCAGCGCCTACAACACCGGATGAAGTCGGCGCACGCGTCCTTATGCAGGTTTGATCATGGCTTTCTGTATTATTAAAATTTTTACTTTGTTGGTTGAGATTTAAAATGCTGCATTATATGGCAATTGTTATTTAAATATATGAACTAATAATATTTGTAGGAGCGCATAGAAGACGGTGAGGATGTGGAGATGCAGATTGATAGTGACGCAGAAGAGGACACGCAGACCCGTGTAGAAAGCGAAAAAGATCGTGCAAAAGATAATAATCAAGTAAGTTTATTTAATTATCATAGACTATATGTGTGTGTGTGAATTCACTTTAATGTAAATATTTCTATTATACTATGACTTAATGTTTCAGGTACAAGATATGGAGGAAGATTCTAGTGATGAGGATGATGTGTCTCCACCAGGTGATACTCATAAATCTAAAGAACCCAAACCACGAGAAACAAACATGCAACCGCCTCCGTTACCGCCGACACCAGGAAACGTGGTAGTCAAGAAAGGATATGATCCGAAACAACATGGTAAGCATACTCTTCTCTAGTCATTAGTTAGAATTTTTGGTTATTCCAATACATCAAGGTTTTATTCTCAATATTTTTCTTAATAGCGACTAAAACTACTCGTCCCGCGGCTCCGGATGAGTACTTGATTTCGCCTATTACTGGCGAACGTATTCCTGCTAGTAAGGTGCAAGAACATATGCGTATCGGATTGTTGGATCCACGCTGGGTCGAGCAGAGAGACAAACATCTAGATAAACTGGCACAGGAGACCGTATTCGCACCAGGCACAGCAATCGAGGCAAGTCTCAAACAACTCGCCGAGAGACGTACTGATATTTTCGGTGTTGGTGACGAAGAAACTGCGATTGGAAAGAAAATCGGTGAAGAAGACAAAAAGAAGGATGATAAAGTCACATGGGACGGTCATACTTCGAGTGTGGAAGCGGCGACGAGAGCTGCGCGAGCTAACATTACATTGGAAGAACAGATTCATCAAATTCATAAAGTTAAAGGTCTTCTGCCTGACGAGGAGAAAGAGAAGATTGGTCCGAAACCGGTTAATCGTGCAACCGAACTCTCCCACATGGCTGCTGCTGCTTCGAAACCTCAAGCTACATTGAAAGCACCTCCAAAGCCACCTGCACCGAAGCCTATACCAGTACCTGCTCAACCTCCTCCACCGCCGACAATGAGTATGCCTACTATGGGTATACCTCAACCGATGATGCCGCAACCACCGATGATGATGATGGCACCTATGCCACCTATGGCACCCAGACCACCACCTTTAATGAGTACGAAATTTTTTCATGTATCTTGATAAATATATATTTTATTATTGTATTTATATATGTATATATATAAAGCTAATCTTAATGAAATAAATCTGTGACAGCTCCAGCAATGTCACCATTCATGCCAACGCCACCGCCAATACAGCCGCCGATGACATCTGCTGTAAGTAATTTGAAATAAAATACAATTGCATAAATTATTGTATTATATTTTAATTCTCCTATGGTAAGGTGAATTTTCAAAATATCCAGAAAGGCAGGATCGGATGGAACCCAATATTGTTTTGTTCATATTTCATCTAATGATCTAATCAATATAACAAAATCAACAATCATGAATATAACATTTCTTTCTCTTAAACAGCGCATGGGCTTTGTAAAATAGAAGCCGGTAGTAGGGGAGGGTTAAGATTTAATTATTGTACTTTTAATTTTTTTTTTAAGATTGGGTTAAAACATCCTGCTAATAAACCGTTGGAAGAAGAGCCACAGACTAAGAAATTGAGAACCGAGGACTCATTAATTCCGGAGCAACAATTCCTTGCTAGAAATAAGGTGAAAAGATTAATATTTATTAATTTATCGACAAGTTTAAGTGATAAACTTCTAAAAAAATATATAATTTTTTTTAGGATCCTGTACAAATTAACATTGCTGTACCTATGATGACGGAGAAGGCTGAATGGAAATTAAACGGACAGACATTGAATATTACCTTACAAATAAGCGATACTGTAGCGACTATGAAAGCACTTATTCACGAGCAAATTGGTATGCCACCTGGAAAGCAAAAGTTGCAATATGAGGTAATGATCATTAATAAATTTTTTTCGCATCATACACGAATCATTACGATCATACACGAAATTCTGTAAATATAATTTTCTGCTTCCAGGGAATGTTCTTCAAAGACAACAATACTCTTGCGTATTATAACTTAACTTCAGGTAATGTAATCAATCTGTTGCCAAAGGAGAGAGGTGGTAGGAAAAAGTAAAGGAGAATATATAAAAAGGTGACTATATAAATTAAGAATATAAAATTATTATAATTATGACATATTATATCAATGTTTTTAACAATTGTATTACTCTAATGATTTTAAAATAACAATATACATCAAAATATATATTGCATTTATTCAAGTTCAGTCTAATAATATAACAATAAAAATTTATAATTTAATAAATATTACATTAAATATTATTTTATTTAAGCTCGAGTTCTTTTATATCGCATGTAGTGTTCGTGTAATATTATGCTTTATTTTTAATTTGATTGATATATGTATATTAGCATACCTCTAATTATTAAAATTACAAAATTAAGGTAGTAATTTCTATAATTTAAAAATTATTTCAAGATATTTCATAGATACATCTTTCTCTCGCTTTATATATTAAAATCGCCATTTTACTTTTAAATCTTTAAAAATGCGTATTTACAATTAAAGTTGAGATTAAGTGCATTTTTTATACATTCGTACAAAATATTGTATGATCTTTACTCATATATGAAATGTTTTTTTTTTTAAATACAAAAAGATATATTGTATAAATTTCTAAATAACTTGAGAATATATAGAAAAATTCTCTCAAAAAGTACAGATCTGTTGTTTTGTGTTTACTTTGAGTAATATCATGTATAAGAAGCCTCTTTAGAACATTATGTTATATACAAGATTTTTATACATGCTTCTGTTCGCTCCGTTTCTTCAATATCTGATCTATTATTTTGCGATAACGTACGGTCATAGGCTTGTAAATCTAAAAACATTAATATAATCAATTGTGATAATAAAAAATGTTCAAAAATTCACTTTACTTACCGATTCGGCGTCATCATAAGGCTGGCATACCAGCGTCAATTCTGGCAAGCAGCGTGTAATTTCATTGAAGCTACAATTATTTTGCAATAAACCATGTTTTGCTTGATACGCCGCACCCATCATAGCCGAATTAGCTGCTTCCTATCGGATGTAATTATACGAATACGACGTATCTTTGTGTAAATATGAATAATATAATAATATAATGAGAATTAATATAATAATATATTTACCAAGATGTACACTGGCGAATTAAATACGTCGGAAAGTACTTGCAGTATAGCTTTATTTATAGATGCACCCCCCGTGGCAATTATCCGAGTATTACGTCCTTCATAAAAAGAAAAATTATCAGAAAATTTTTTGCAAAATAAGATCGTAAAAGAGAAGCTTGCAGGGAATTACTTGCCGATAACAAATCCAAAGTCTTCAGCGTACGCTCTCTTTGCAACAAACTGACCTTCGATTAACGCTCTCACTTCTACTTCTTTTGAACTGTATCGAGAGATCTCGTTATTGGCTTTATTGTATCTATAATCTCCTATGACGAAAGGTAGGATCTCTTGTATATCATAATATAAGGCAAAATTGCCAAAGTTTCCTCGCGGTGTACTTTCTAATAATTCATTGAATATCTGCCAGCTACCTTGCGCAGTATCATCTCGTATTCTTTCGCGTGTCAAAGAACCGTTTTTGAAGCTGCAATACAAAATCATTTTTTTATATTATCATCGTAATAATCGTAATATAAATGACACTTACCAAAGTAACGCCATATAGGCCTCATCGTCTACTGGATTGCATAGTACGTGACCGTCCGTTATAGTTTTAGGTTTGTTCAACCATAGAAGTAAGGTATCACTTGTGCCTAAACTGCAAGCGATATCACCTTCTTTTAGCCTCATACCTACGTATCATTCTTATTGTGAATACAACAGGATGTTCTAAAGTTGTTCGTATTAACAAAATCGCGGCTGTGTAAGAGTAATATTACATACCTATTAAGGAGCCAGGATTGTCCCCGGTGAACGCGATTATCCTACATTTTTCGTTGAAACTGAATCTTTCCACAAAATAAGATGATATAGGCCCGATATCGCTGTATGACGAAACAGGGTTTCCTAGTTTCTCTCTCAGTCCTGATGCGCAGGTCTATTATAAATATGTACATTAAGTATACAATGAAGTATATCTTTCCAAACTATTGTAAACATACAATATACTGTATATAAATGCAATTTTACCTCCAACAACATATCATCCCAGTCTTTCGTACAGATATTTAACAGATTCATACCCGAACCATCCGACCAATCGATAGGTGCGTAATCACCCAGAAACAAGGAGGCAATAAAGTTGCTCACCAACGAGATCCTCTGGAAAATGAGAAAGAGAACGAATCATACATAAATAATAACACATTCGCCTTAGACGCGTTTTAGAAGCGGCACAAGCGTATGACGCATAGCTTCGATCATCGTGTTATATTTAGAAGCGTCAAATCACACGACGCAAAAACTTTTATTTCTGTCAAGCGAAATATTAAATATTAAAAGGAAGTACAAACGTAATGTGAGTTAAATCAACGGCGAGTTATTGCAAATTCGATGTTGTGCATTAATACTTTGTAAAACTAACACACTCATGAGAGAAGCGCACGAAATAAACAATTGTAATAAAATTCAATCAAATCAATTCAATCAATGTAGTCATACGTAACGAATACCTCGGTCGGATTGCCGTTTTCATTTTTTCGAAGGAAGCCACGAGTTTTTAGTAGGTAATACCTCAGTGCTGCAGTAAGCTTCCGGCTTCGTGCGTGCTATTTTTGCAATCTGCGGTCCTGAGAATCTCTCGTATGCCCGTGAACCCGTTATTTCCGCTAATTTCTGAAATCCCAGCACTGTATGGATAAACGTCGTCAGCTCGTGTATACACTAAATCTAAGCCGGTTACTTTAAATATTTAGCCAATTTGTTCTCGTATAGTTACAACTGTGAGTTGTTTAGAAAATTTCACAACGCGGTAATAAATTCTTGTGAAAGCTAATGTTACCAATAAATGTGCATTCATATAAACTTTAACATGTATCGCCAGATATTTTGGCGTATATTTCTGCATAGGTTGTATCCATCATTATTACACGCAGGCAAACGAGAGAGGATAATTTAATGCTTACGTGAGGGCCACCCACGATCTCTTCCAAAACGCTACACTCTTTTGACGTACTGGAATCCATCCATATGGGTGAATGAGTCACGGAAAACGACGTAGCGAATTGTTCGTGCAAAAATTTTATCGGGTCCAAACATTGTAACCGATTCCGACTGCCTTTACTCCAATAGACTGTGCCATGTTGCTGCTCGTATCATTAAAATGTATCATAAAATAAGCATACTTTACGTTTATTTCTACAGCATATTTGTAAAATAATTGATTTTATTTTAAATACGGCCGTGTCACCTGCGCACAACCAGAAATGGCTGCTACTTTGCTAAAGTCGACGCCGCAGACGCGTAATTTGTCTAGTATCATGTCTAAGGCCTTAATCCACATCAGAGAAGGCACCACCACAACATGAGACTCTTCCTTCTTCCGTATTACCCCTCCGTAAGTTCTGCAACGTTGGAATGTACTCTTGTTATATAAACGTAATTTATATCGTTCAATATTACAAGTGTTTTCTGACATTTTTAATTAGGCCAGTGTACATATATCTTGATAAATGTACAGCGATAATCATTGATATCATGCTATCCATCGTATTCTATATATATATATATATATATAAAGATACAAAAATATTTTATAATTTTTAATTATAATTTTAATTTTGTTCAATGGAAAGAGCAGTTAATTCGATTATTACTAACAAGACAAAATACAAAATAACTTCTTATATTTAGAGATTTTTTTAATCATACCTAAATTCTGGTAGATCATTGTCGAATTGCACACTGGTCTCGTGAAGAATGGCTAGATTATCATCAACTACCACTGCTTTCAGCTGAAATCAAATTGGTCAGTTAGTTTGAACGTGGATATGACTAATGATTTTTCGAATAGTTCCTACGTGATCATACGTTCGGATAAACAGCAATAATATCGATAGTATTAAATAATTGAATATAATTTAATGAATTCAATTTAACGTTCGAGAAACTATAATTTATTAAAATACTATTCTTCATGAGTTACATATTTAAAAAAAAAAATTGTATATATATTCCTTGTATCATTTTTTATTTCATGATACTATTCTAATATACATATCTATATCTATATAGACCCATATATAGAACGCGCTTATAACGATGTTAGCGCGCGACTAACATGCTATAATTTTGCGTTACGCATACTGTAAAATTTTAAAGATAAAAGCGCGTTCTGAATACGGGCCATAGTAAAAAGTTACTTATTAAAAATTCAGTCTTTTTATATTCTCTGAGTTATGCATATACATCAATTAATTATAATATTGCGCTAGAAATCTTTACAAATAGATTGTGCAGTTTAAATATGTTATATACAGTGCGACAATCAAATTATTTATGCGCATCTCATTGCTTTGTACTCCGCGGTGTGCAAATTTTTACGTTGTAAAAAAATCAATCTGGGATGTTAATTATCGGCCACAATATTTCTGTTTCGTCGCATTTTTACGGTTTCGCAGATTATGTTTTTCTTCCATGCTCGTTTTATCTGCCGACAGACTCATGTTATCACGCTATTAGATAATAGTGACCCTCTTGAAGACGTCAGAGCGCTTCGTGACTTCTCTTTTGACTTGATCGCGTGTTTCCTGCGTAGAATACCTTACGAAACAGCTAACTGTCGTATTGACATACTTTAAGACTGCCTAACGCGAGCGCCGAGTAAACCCCAGCCTCCCGGGTCATCTTTATTCGACGCTAATAAAACTCGTAAACACTCGTCCTAAGGTTATCACTCGCAAAGTGAATGGGGGCATTGATGACGAAGAAATTATTATTAATTGAATTGCGTGGCGTGGTTAACGGAAGAATTTAAGAAATCGAATTAAAAGCGGATGGACGCTGCTGTAAAATATATGGAAAGTTTCAAAGTTGATGCTCGTGTTTAAACTACGCTTACGTGGATTTCAGGTAATTAGCGCGTTTTAAAGCGATCGCGCTTTTGTTACTCTTTCCCAGGAACATCCGGGATACTTAAG